GTGCGAGCTAAAAAGTTTGTACTTTATCGGCCACTAAATACGACTGATCGACGAGCTCATCCTTTAAGTTTTTAATTATAATTATTAAAATGAAAATTCAAGGAGTCGAAAAGATACTAAATGATCTTAGTCAATGCTTAATTACTCCATTATTGAAGACCCATCTCACTTTACTTTGTTGTGTGGAGCCCCACTCATTTAGACTCTTGTGGGCCTTTTTTCTATAAAATACAAACTATTATTCTTCATTAAAAATTGAAGGATTCTCAACTTCTTAATCAAAGGCATTAATTCCATCATATTACAGAATGTAAAATTCTTTTAGTTTTACATAAATTTAGGACAGTTACATGAGGAAAAATAGGTGGATGAGATTAACGGTATAAAATGAGAAGACATTCACTGGAAAAAAAACACAATGAGTCAATCTCAACCATCTATTTTCCCTCGTCCAACAACTATAAATTTGTGCAAAACTAACAAATTTTACATTGTGTAAGTGAATCCTAACCCTATATTTATATATATAAAGATGCTTTTAGACAATAAAATTAATCTTAAATAATTCCAATTTATAATTGGGTTAAATTCGTTTGTTTATTTTTCAATCCAAGTATGGAATTTCATTTTTTTCTCACTTTAACTAAGATATTATGTGTTGTTAAGGTTTATAAAATGAATAGGAGAAGGCAGATAATGTGTAGATTCGTGGGTGGGTTTGAGGTGTAAAGAGTGCCCAATCATCTTCACAAAAGTGAATATACGATTGGCACAAGACAACGACATATACCTACAATGTAATAAAGTATATCTCTACATATACGGTATGAAATAACCATCCAGCTCAGTTGGTAGAGCACAATGTTCTTAATCTTGAGGTCGTGGGATCGAGTCTCACGGAGGGTATTTCATAATTTGGATGTCTCTGCTCTCAACCTGGTGTTGGGGGTAGCCTACTATCTTACCTCCCCTTACCCCATATATAGGAAAAAGGGACAGCCATTCTACATATACGGTAAAGTCTTCTACTTTTTATGTTGATAATCCTGTTTTTTAAACAGTTTTCGCCGACCTGTTACCTTTTAGTAATTACATTTTTGCATCTAAGTTGTCAACATGATTCATTCATGTTATTAATCATAAATACATTATTACGATGAAGTATTAATCGATTAAAAGGGGTACTTTATCTTTTACATTTAAATTTAGATATATTTATCTGTAGGGTGTGTATATGCAATCAGTGGTTAAAAAATATCATTAGCATATTACTTTTATTCATCTCAGACTATTAAAAAAATACGATGAAATTGTGATCCATAACGAAGTTGTGATATAATGAAAAGAAGATATAACGAAATTGTGAGATAATTTTTGATGCTGAGGTTAGGAGGGGTAAAATTATATTATTTTTTAATTTATCTTTAGTTAAGTAATTTACTTGTGGAATTAAAAAAAATCTGTGTACCGATCTTTTTCTCTAAACCTTAAATTTACTCTTTTCTTTTTTGTCGTCGGTTGCTAGACGGTGACATCAATTTTGGTATTGATTGTTGTCGTTGATATTATTATTTTTTTGTATTTTCTATCTCACATTTTTTTTTATTTGTAATAATTATATTTTTATGACATGTTTTTTTGCATGTTTTTTGGTGTTTCAGTCGTTTGGTCATTTTTGTATATATTTTTTGGGGATTGGATTTGACGTTGTCGTGACTGATCAAGATAGTGACCATTTGTTATCCCGATGATTTTTTATGTTTTGGATCTTCAAATTGGATTTAGATATGCAGTCTGCATTTGTAGATAGTTTTCTGACGATGTTGGACTCTAATTTGCATCTGCCGATGATCTTTTAGTAGTTTAATCCATGTTGTTTGTTTACAGCAGCAATCAAATTTGTTCATATTTATACATTGTTTGAATTTTTTAAATGAATTTTTACCTTTTTCTTGTATGATCCATTTATGATCTTAACTATTTGGTTTATTGCGTTAATGGTTATAGGATAATATTTTAACTATATGTTTAATTTACGATTCTAGTTGTAAACCCTAATTCTAATGTTGGATATTTTTTTTTCTTTCTTAACAAAATTGGCCCCTCTTTTTAATAATAAAAATCTCTTTTTATAATCTAATAATTTAATTTTACCTTTTATTCAATTTGGTAACTAGACTATAACTCTTTACAAATTCTTTCTTTTCGTCAATTGATTGACTCATCTATGCTCTCTTCAATATTTTATCCTCAATAAATTTTAAATAATACTACAAACATATAATACAAAAATTTATATGGTATTTGATTTATTAAATAACATTACAAATCTTACTTAAACATATGAAAAGAATATAAAGAATTATACAAGTATATCGTATATAATTATATTGTTTTATAGTGAAACCAACCATTACCTAACATCATAAACAATTATAATTAAATTTGAATATGAAACTCGAACAAATATATTTGATTAAATTCAACTCCAATTTTATGAATCTGATTTAAAAACTGTAAAACAAAATTTGAATGATGAAATAATATTCATGAACTCGACTTATTCAAAACTTTTCATTTAATTCAATTCGATCGAATACTTATATATATATATATTCATGCGTGTGTGAATGCTTTTGTTAAAGTCTCAGCAGCAATATTACGAATGGATGTTGAAATTATGAAGCAGATTAATTTTTTAGTTGACTGGTGAAAATGGAGTGGGAAAATACTAGTTTCTTTTTTCCTTTTTCACATGTCACATGCAGCAATTAATGAAGCCAATGTTGTTGGTAATATCATTCCCTGTTATTTTGAGAAATGTTCACGTTCGACGGTCTTAATATAAGTTAAAAAAAGTGATATCAATTTTGTTATTGTTAAAATAATAAAACATGTGAAAATGACTAAATAGATTATTAGGCGTTACCGGTTTTGTTATTATTGGACATTTTACCGAAATTGGTAAAAATGATCGGAAACATTATTAGACGCTACCGATTTTATTATTGTTGGACACTTTTTACCGGAAATGTTAAAAAATGATGTTTTAGGTAAAAATAATAATATTTTCGATCATTTTTTACCGATTTTGTTATTTAAGCAGTAACAAAACCGATAGCACATTTTTTATCCGTATATTAAGGTGTCGCACTGTAAAACTTCTCCATCTTCACTTCTTTGAAATTATTAATTACATAATTCGCTTCACTAACATTAATTATTTATTTAATGGTGCAAATTCACATTAATATGAAATTCAGATTAATGTTAATTAATATGAAATTCAGATTAATGTTGGTCTATAGTTAATTAGCATTGCTGCCAACTTAGCTATAGTTGGAATGACGCATGTATAAGATCCATACAACTAAGATACAGTATCTTATAAAATAAGAAGAGTAGAACATAATGCTAATCATTTAAGTTTGAATATTTGATATAATTAATACTTATTTTATTTATTCATATTAATTAATTAGTGTAAAAATGATTTTTTAATTCATTTTATCATTATATATATATATATATATACCTTAATTAAAATAAAGGTTCTCTCCCACTAGAAAAATGGAGATTATTTTTGTTAAAGATATTTGATTCAAGTGTTAAACAATTTGATATCATTTAAGTAATATTTTATTTGAGATTTTGTGTACGTAGAAAATTTTTATTAAGAATTTTATCTATCATACGACACGAATCAATCTAAATTAATTATGACAAAGATTTGAAATCGAGAGAACAACGCAAAAAATTAAGGCTCTCTCTAATATAATCGCAAAAGGGTTTTTCTTCGTATACAACACGTAATAAATTTAACAAGAAGAATGTTGCTTTGAGTGTTGAGAGATGTCTTAATCAACCGCGTGAGTTTTAATTTAATAGATTAAGATAATCATAAGGTAATATTTGTTCAAAAATATTTTTAACTTATTGATAATGTATATATACTTTATAAATATATCTGCTCAGACTTAAAATCTCTAAAAGAATAATATTTTTTTATCATTTAAATCCTTTGATGAGTGTTAAATAATATTTTTCGATTAGTATAGGGTAAGTACAATATAGTATATTTTCAAAGATAATTCTAATCATTTGACATTAAACGCTCATTTCCCTGACATTTAACGCTCATTCCCCTAATATTCTTGGTGTTCGAATTTATGACCTTAAAAATAACAACAATTCATTTGTCATCGAGATTGATTGGTTTGTGCAGTGTTAAATAATATTTTAGTAATTCGAATTTGAATTTGTTTTAATTGAATTTAAACCATAGGCTTTTTAACAATGAAGTACACATTATTTGTTATAATAAAAAATGAGTCGAATTAATATATATCATAATTAAAATACAAAAAAATCATTCATGTAATAAACTAATATAACATAGTACGACATCAAGTCAAAATATCATTTAACTTGAACTAATTAATTAGTTAAGGGTACTTCGGAGAATTCACGTTGAGTTTGATAGCGATACCCTAGTTGATAGTCTTGTAGTGGGACCTTGGCAGACCACGCGAAGGAGACCTCAGAGTGTGATTATACATTCTCACGCGATCACGTTGACCGTGCACTCAACCCTCCCGCACTCTCATGTATATATAACTAGTTTTAATTATTGTTCAAAATGAATTTTTAAATAGATGTAAAATAATATTGTTTTTGGTGAAAATTTTGTTCTTTTAAAATAATATTATTTTAATATTATTAATTATTTAATGGTATAATAATAAAAAAAATCAATGTATTAAGTTTAATGAAGATGATAAAAATTTTAAAGTTTAATGATAAAAATAAGGAAGAGAGTAAAGTTTAATAATGGGAATTTGTAATTTAAGTTTAATGAGAAAAAATCAATGTATTAAGATCTCAACCCTTTGCTAAGTGCTTTATCGTCAACGAAAGGATGATGAAAGAGAAGCATAGAAACCAAAACTAAAAAGACAACACCAAAATACCCTGCAACATCCCCTATATTTAGTAATTCCAACCCCCCAAAAAGAAGAAAAAAAAAAGAACAAGAGAGTCCTCCCTTCATCTCTTCTTCATCAACAAGAGCCAAAACCCTAATTTCTCGTTCGAGAATCATGCAGCCTTGTAGTCGTGAAATGCAAGCAATGAACTCTCTCTTAAACCCTTCTCAACAAATCCCTCTCCAAGACCTACAAATCAACGGTCACCATTCGCAGTTCGATGATCCCGCTTCGTCCCACGATGACTTCTTAGAACAGATGCTCTCAACGACGTCGTTCCCTGTTTCTTCTTCCTCATGGTCCGACCTCAAGTCACCTTGGGATCCACCCAAACCCGAGGAATCGGATCCCTGTAACCTCGACAACAATGCCGCCGACGGGTTCCACCACGAAGAGATTCTAGCATCCAAGCTTAGACAACAACAGCATCATATCAACGGCGGAGATGGTAGTAACTCTTTCCAAGCTATGAAGATGATGATGATGATGCAACAACAGATGATGGCAGCGGGAAGACCCACGGTTTCCGCCTCCGGATGCGGTGTGGGAAATCATCAGGTATTCACGTTATGTTACTTTCATTACCCTACATAGATTAGCAGAAGTAACAATGAGTGATTAAATTGTTTTTTTCTTTCTCTTTTTTGTAGGGTGGTGGAGAAGGTTCCATGCTAGCTTTGTTTAATGGCTTCGGCGATGGATCTTTTCATCATCCACAAGCAAGCTTTGGGGCTAATTCAACAACGGAGATAAACCAAAGTCAGGGTCCGACAGCCGTCGCGCCGCCGCAGGAAAAGCCTAAACAAAAAGTTAGGGCAAGGAGGGGTCAAGCTACCGACCCGCATAGTATTGCTGAAAGAGTAAGAGAACAATTCTTGAAACCAATTGCTTTTCTTTTTATCATCTTTCATGCCGATTTTACGGCCTATATTCGAATTCGGACCGTCTTTGAAATGAAATTTGATTTCAGTTCATGTTTAAAAATGACTTCTTTTTTTGGCAGCTACGGAGAGTTAGAATTGCAGAGCGAATGAAAGCTCTTCAAGAACTGGTTCCCAATGCCAACAAGGTACACTTCATCATCTTCTTCTCTCTCTTTTTGTTTCACCATTTTCATCGTAATCCGAAGCTTCATAGGCTCCGGTCTCTGGCTGAAAAACCTGACCGCCGGTTATTGGGTCAATTTTAGGCTACGCGTAAGCTGGACAGGTGTCGATATTATGATAAATTAATCGTCACAGTCCAGTGCCTTTAATGTTTCTCGGACTCATTATTGATTTTTAATTACAAACCACCCGTTTTGGAAACCGGAAAGCCCTCTAAATTATTCGGGATATTTATTGAGCTCAATTATGTCCTTAATACGTAATTAATTAATTATTTTGGTAAAATTATTGTTTTGATCCCTCTACAATGCTTGAATGTTGGAAAAAACCCCTAATCCTCTACTTTTCCTATTGATTAGAAGGGTTATTTCCAAGAGAAAAAAATAACTATTTCACCATTTCAACATGAATAGTTATCAGTGTATTAATTTAATTAGCTCCAATTATTTATGTTATTTTTATGGTATCTCGTAACAGACTATGCTTCTGTATTTTGATTATTTAAACAAACTGATTAATTAGCATCGTGATCTGTGTGGGATTTGGAATGACAGACAGATAAAGCTTCAATGCTTGATGAGATCGTCGACTATGTCAAATTCCTCCAGCTCCAAGTCAAGGTAGCCCTTATTTTCCATTTTTTTAAAAATTATTTAATTAACAAGAATATTATTAGAGGATTCCCAGTATTGACATGATTTGTTTAATTTGGTTATTAATATTTTAATTGTTTCTTAATCCAGTTGTTGTATGGGCTTCTCTGAAATTAAAATTCCTTTCTTTACAGGTCCTGAGTATGAGCAGATTGGGCGGTGCGGCTGCTGTTGCTCCCCTTGTTACTGTTATGCCCTCTGAGGTAAATCTTATTTTTCAAAATAATAATAATAGTATCGAGCAAGGGACTTGGTTTTGTTAAAATCAAAATCATTCCTTGTCTGAAATCCGACCAATCTAAGGAAAACGACAAAGGACAAAAGTAGCACGCGTGCCCTAACTTCCGTAGATTCCTTTTTCCAAACGTATTTTTTGGTCTAATTTTATTTTGGTCCTTACATTGTACTAAAATTTCTGAATCAATCTTTATGTTGTAAATTAGCATGAATTATTCCTTAGGTTCTAACTTTGTGCAAAGTTAACAACAATAGGAAAGTATGATAAATTAAAGTAAAAGGATTAAAAGTAAAAATTTTAATATAGTGAAGGATCACAACTAGGCATTACCCTTTTGTTTATATTCTTTTTAATTGTAGAGACAATTTTATGAAAAAGTACGAATTTTTGTCCTCTTGAAGGGAGGTGGTGATTGCATTCAAACGAGTGCTAATAATGGTGGGTCCCTTCCACGAAGTTCCAATGGCAACCAAAAGCCGCCTGCGAACGACAGCCTGACGGCGACGGAGCACCAAGTGGCTAAGCTTATGGAAGAGGACATGGGGACCGCCATGCAGTATCTTCAGGGGAAGGGTCTTTGTCTGATGCCGATCTCGCTCGCCACCGCCATCTCAACCGCCACTTCTCATTCGAGGAACCCAATGATCAGCAATGTGAACCCAAACACCGGCATTAACGGAAACGGTAGCCACCTCTTGCTACAATCGAGCGGTGGTGATGGGCCTTCCTCGCCTAGCATGTCGGTGTTGACCGTCCAATCAGCCACCATGGGTAATGGCGTTGTTGACGGAGCTGCCTCCGTTTCCAAGCCGTGATGGCGGCGTCTCTGACTGACCATAATTAGCTCCAGTGAGTCAACTGAAGGGCAGCTTCGAGTCTATGAAAATAAGGTGGTCTTAGTTCATTCGTGTTTTTAAGTATCAAACGACACCGTATTTACATAGACTTTATAGGCTAAACCCTAAAGCCAATTCTCGTAATGGAACAACTTTTAATATTATAATTAAATAGCTGTAATTGTTTTTCTAATATAAGAGTAGAAGAGTTCGAAATCCAATTCAAAATTGATGTCAATTATATATTCGAACATAAATCTTTTATCACTCTATTTACAACCAAATAATTTTTCATTGTTTTTCAATTAATTTATTCATATTTCAATTTTTTCCTTTATTTTGTTCATTCATCGATTAATCTGGATCGAGTATTATAGAAGCAAGTGAGACCCTTCCAATTGATTTACTCCGTTCACAATCACTAATATTCGAATCCCTAATGTAAAAGATTTAGTGTCACATCATACTAGACCAACTGGTTGTTGGTTCATATATAACTCTTCAATCGTTAATTTAATCTAAATATTATAGAAATATATGATGAGAATGATCTTATTAATCTTTTTTCTAATATCATAATAATTTATTTTACTTCTATAATATTATTAGTTCATTCAAATTATTAACATTATTAATTATTTGAATTAAAATTTAAAGTTAAAAGATTCTTAAAAGCACTCAATATTAATATCCTTTTTAATAAGACTTTTTAATAAATAATTTAATTAAAATAATTAGTAACATTAACTACCCATACTAATTCTTTTTATTGATTAAGCTGGAGTAATTAAAAAGTAATATATATTCTAAATATTCTCAATCAATTTGACAACGAATGTTTAACCTCTCCACTTCAGCCGTTGGTGCTCGAACCCGAGACGTCTAAGAATATCAACGGTTCCTTTAACCATTAAGGTAAGTTGGTTTGTGCACTATACTAATTCAAATTATATAAAATAAATGTAAATGAATTAAATTTCAAATTTAAATAGAGTAGCATGACTTTCACCTATTTGTTTAACTTTTTTAAGGTTTAATTTTATGCCGACTCCAAGTATTTTATTTCATTTTAACTTTAATCAAAGCTTTTAGATAAATTATGTTTTATAACCTCCAAGAGTCAACGACGTGTTGCTTTTGTCTGCTTTATATTAAAATAAAACAAAAATCTCTAAAGGTGGATGATAGTAAATCAAGGATATATTGTCATATTGATCATTAAATTATAATCATTTTTTTATTTTAGCCTCTGATTTTTTGGGTAAATTTGTCACTGAAATTATATTTTTTTCCCTATTTTGATAATTGGTTGTTGAAATTTTTAATAAAAGTTTAACAGTGATAGTAAATAATAGTTTTAATCTCAAATTTTATATATTTTAATTTCATTTTAAAATAATTCAATAAATCCTTTAAAAAATTATACTTTTTGCAGTACGTGTGGGAGTTACGTCCCGACAAAAGTAAACTATTTTGGCTGATTGCTTAAAGTTAAAGAGAGAAACTTCAAATTTGTCTTCTAACTATTAAAAGGTTTTAATAGAGTTTGCAAAACTTTGAATACTGTATTAATTAGTTTCTTTTTTTATTACATAATGACAGGGGTGTCGTATAATTAGATTGTTGACCGAATCGAATTATCCAAATTTTATTAATCAATTTTTTTTAAAAAAAATAACTGAACAAAACTAAGTCCGGTTAATTAGTCGGTTAAACGATTAACCAAAAGTTATCAAGATTGCATATTATATATTAAATATTAAATATTTTCGATTTATTCGGTTAATTCAGTTAAACCCGAAGTTTAAACGCCTCCAAAGCTAAATAATATATTAAATATTTAATAATTTTAGTTAATTCAATTAATTAACCGATTTTAAACCGAATTAATCAAAATCGAAACTTGAAAAAACTATTAACCATTGACCGACTGAAATTTTGGTTCGGTAGATTAATTCGTTTTTAACATAATTATGAACTCCCTACGTGATGTGGATAAATTAAATGTGAAATTTTAACATTAACTTTTATATTAGGCGTAAGTTTATGATTTTAATTTCAATATCAGCAATGCTTTCCTTCTAATTTGGTATTGATCTGCGGAGAAGGTTGAAAAATTGTGAATTGGTACGAAATAAATTATACGAGTGCAGGGTGGGAGAATTCATGGTTAGATAGGTGTAGACACTCATTTTCGTCCATATTTATTTATTTATTTTGTTTTTTATTTATATATTATATAATTTTAAAAAAATTTTTTGAAAATATATGATATATAATTTTTAAAACATTTTAAAAACATTTATATATTATATAGTTTTAAAACGCTTTTGAAAAGAAATATAATATATAGTTTCCAAAACATTTTTGAAAATATACATATTATATAGTTTTTAAAACGTTTTGAAAATAAATATATAATATATAATTTTTTGAAAAACATTTTGAAAGCATATATAATATGTAATTTTTAAAACATTTTTAAAAATTATATGGTTTTTTAAAAAAAACACTTTTGAAAATTATATAGTTTTTTAAATGGTTTTTTAAATTTATATATAATATATAGTTTTTAAAAGAAAAATTTTAAAAATATATATTATATAGTTTTTATATTTATTATTATTATTATTATTATCATTATTTATTATTATTTTTTATTACTTATTTTATTTTATTTTTTTTCCCGTTTCAGGTCCAAATGGGTCAACTGTCCAGTCCAACAAGTCACGGTCAGGGTCCAAACACAGATGGGCTTGATCCAGCTTGGTAAGTTTAGGGTTTGGAAACCCTGAATGATATCAGTTTCAACGGCGCCACAAAACCAGGGAGATGAACGGTCAACAGTGCCAACGACCGGCCGAAATCCCCGGGACTGACCCATCCCGGGGTGACCGGCCACAACGGCCACGAGCACCCTTATTTCGGAACCGACAGGCCTCCGATGGGGGTATAAATACCCCGGTGAGGCCATGCAAAAGGGAGGACATCATCAAGACCCAAACAGAGAACAAAGATCATCAATAAAAACAGTAAACCGAGACAGAGAATCCACAATACCGAACATCAACAGAACAACAAGTTCAAGCAAACATCGGAGGCTACGCAGAACAATCGGAACCATTGAAACCGAGAGCCAACAGTAAACACAGAGAACCACACATCACAATAGTAAACCAAGGCGAGCCACAGGATCGCAAACAGTACATAGCAAACAAAAAAACCGAGAACGAAAAGGCCACCTCACAACAAATCACGAAACAAGGCACCATCGAAACAAAAAAACTACATACAACAGTGAGCAAAACCCACCACATCAACCAAAAAACCGAAACAAAACACACAAGAACACAAGAACACAAAAAAAGATCGAGAGCCGAGCAAAGCGGGAAGTAAACATGCCGGGAAAGTGAAAGGTCTCGCTGGAAAAAAGGTAAAGGCCGAGTTTTGTTTTGTAGATCTACGTGATTCGGCTTTGGTTGCGGTGAATCGGGGTTCGATTTCGGTTTGAGCGGTACAAGGGGGTCATTTGGTGAAGGTTTTGGTGTTTTCCGGCTGCCAAGGCCGACGGCCGGAGGCGGCGCTGAACGGTGGCGGGGGGTTCGGCCAAGGGGGCTGACTGAGAGAGTTATCTCTCGTTTAGAGAGATGGTTTTTTTCGGCAAATGCTGAAAATGAATTCAAAAGGGAGAGTTTTCATATTTATATACCAGGGGCCTCTTTGCAATTAGAAGTTTTTTTAATTCTCTCCGCAGTCCCTGAATGTTTGAATCGCTTTACAATCTGGTCACCGTATGCAATTTGACCTCTGAATTTGTGATTTATTCAATTCAGTCCCTACTTTTAATTTACATTGTTTTGCAATTTGGCCCCCTTACTTTTTTATTTTGCAGTTTATTTTTAGTACCTGGTTAACCCATCCATTTTAATTTATTATAATTTAGTCCTCGAATTTTTTTTCTCCTTTTTAATTTTAGCATTTTTTAATTATTCATTTTTACCTTAATTTTAGTGTATTTTTATTCCTTTTCTTATTTTTAATTTATCACTTTTAAAATCTAGCATTTGTATTATTTTTTTTCCTTCCTTTTATTTATTCAATATTTTTTTTCTTTCCCCTAACATTTTTGACTTTGTAGAGAAATTTCAATTGATCAAAGGTGAGTAATTCGAATCGAGTAATTTAAATTTAAATTTAAATTTTCTATTTTTCGCTATAACGACAACCGGAAAATTAATCGGTACCGAAAGGGCGGTTCAAGGGTGCTAATCCTTCCTTAACCGTAATCGACTCCCGAACCCGACACGTTTCTGGTACAACGCAGATCAGGTAAGATGGTGTCCGCACCTAAATTCGTTTTAAAGTGGTCGGTGGCGACTCCAACCCAATTAATCTAAGTCGAAGCCCAATTCCGGGGCCCAACCGGAAAGACGGTTCCGACAGCTTGGCGACTCCGCTGGGGACCAGGTAAGTGAGTCAGGCCGAAATTAATTTTTGGTTGTCTTTTTATGCGAAAATGTTAAATGTTAAATTTTAATTTATTTATTTGATTCTAATTATTTATCTTTGATTATTTTTGTTTCAAATAAATAGTTGTACTGATGTTTTTTATTGATTTCAGATTTTTTTCAAAATTGTCATCTCTAAGCTCTAAACCCGAGCTCCGAACCCGTTTTAAGTGGGGGTGAAAGCGACGCATTCGTGTGAATTTATTCACCGCATATGCCTAGCAAGTAGCCTTCGGGATTCATATACCTTACGTCTTCGTGTGAATTTATTCACCGCACAGACATAAGGGAATGTGTCCTCTCGAGTTTAACTTAGTCCACGCAAGCTTGTAATGGGCTTAGGACTAAGGGTCTGGCAAGCCCAAGGGGGCACCTGCAAGGAGAACTCGAGTACCTTTTTAGAACCTAAATCGGGAGATTATAGGGAATTAGAGCCCACCCCAAAACCTCATTCCAAACCCTAGGCTATTTTTATTTCCTGCTATATTTTCTGCTCCAAGCATTCGAACTAGACAAACATGCGGCTAGGATTTGTTTGAAATTAGCATGCGGGATAGAAATCATGTCTGTGTAGGAATATTAAGCATGTTCGGGTAGATTATCATGTGGGGTAAGACTTTTTCATCATTTTTATTATTATCATCATTATCTCACTAACTTTTTTGTTTCTCTTCCTCCTTTCATTTTTATTCTTTGGCATTTTTTTTATCA